GAATGCGCCTGCCTTCTGCTTCCTAGCTTCCTCGGCAATTGTAAAACCACTAATTCCACTACGATCCACTGTTGCAAATTCCCTTTCAGCGCCGAAGACACTCGCCAGTTTGTCGTCTAGTCGGTTCCAGTCAGCAGTTCCCTAAAAAAGCACAAAAATAGTCTCCGCAACAAGTTGTGGAAGTACATGTAAGAAAATGACTCACTTCCTTAAGTTTGTAAATGTCATTATTTCCCATTCCCAGACTTTCAATGCCATCTACTTCAATGACAGCAACAGCACGTGGACGAGTAAACAAGTCAGATTTTACTTGCAAACCTAAAAAGAAAATTTGACAAACATGGAAAGCGAATAAATAAAGGAAAAGGAAGCTAATCCTTGTACCTTGAAAACAGGTAAAAGAATTATTAACGCGCTCAAGTTCAAGGCGCAAAAAACGCTATTTCTTGGATGAGCTTCGTTAAATAGGTGCCAGATTTATCCGGCCCAAGTGATTCGTTCGGTTCATCCATTCGCTATTGGTCAAAGAACTGAACTAACCAATAGCGAATGCGATGAACCGAATGCATCGTCTGAACCGGAGAAGTCTGGCACCTCCCTTATAATCGAAACTTGCATAAATTTACCTAGCATGTTGGATTGGAACAAAAACTAGAACTCCACTGAATAAATCAATAGGGAACTATTCCACATTAGCTGACCCAAAATAGAAAATCATGAACTTCGCTGGAACCTCGCCTAGGGGGGTTATCTGGTACGCTGAACGCGAATACGATGTTCATTTCGCGCGGTAGCGCCATTCGGTGGAGTTACCGTGGAGTTACGGTAGCGGAGGGAGGGTCGAAATCATGGATTTGCCCAAAACTTCGCCTACGGAGGTTATTGTATGCTAAACACGAAATGATGTTTATTTCGTGCAGGAGCGCTATCCGGTGGAGTTACGGTGGGATTACGGTAGGGCTAAACCCGATTTGCCCAAAAGTTTACCGTAATTCCATCGGATGCCGCACGAAATGAACATCATATTCGTCAGCGTACCAAATAACCCCTCTATGCGAAGTTTTGGCGGAATTCAGGATTCTCATTTTTTGGGTCAACTGATGTGGAATAGAGCCGAAAATAGAAAGCAACATATAAACTATTTATATGCAGCTTTTTGTGATG